GGGCGTTTTGGGCGCTCTGGCGGGCCTCTGGCCGCCCCTTGGGGGCCTCTTGGGGGTCTCTTGGGGCGCTCTGGGGGTCCGCTGGGGGGCCTTCGGGGGCTTTCTTGGGCCGTTTGGAGGCCCTCCGGGAGCGATTCCAAGATAATGCTGCTTCGGAGTCCCCTCCGGAGCCGAATTTTTGAGGACGTCCCGAGCGAAACGGCCAATTTTCCGGAACACGGCAGACCACACAGGAGCACGGCAGACCACACAGGACACGGCAGACCCCACGGGAGCACGGCAGACCACACAGGAGCACGGCAAACCACACAAGAGCACGGCAGACCATACAGGAGCACGCCAGACCATTTTGGGGAATCCGTTAACGAAAAATCCAGTGCAGCGCGGCAACCCATATAGTTAAAGAAAAGATATATTTACTCAAGGATTCAGCCAGAACGTCCCGCTTGCTTGTCGTACCTCGAAGACGCTTCCCGTCATCCGCCAACGAGTTTCGGGATGGAGCCCGTACCCCTTAGTTAGAGAACCGCCAACGAGTTTCGGGATGTAGCCCGTACCCCTTAGTTAGAGAATCTCTCTCCCTCTCTATCTCTCTATGTCTCTCTCTTTCTCTGGCTTTAAGCCCCCAAAGCTTCAGCTTCAGCACGGCAGACCAGAACAGCAGACCCGCACGGCAGACCAGCACAACACACCGACACGGCAGACGAGCACGGCAGTCCGTCACGGCAGACCAGCACGGCAGACCAGCACGGCAGCCCATAGGAACATAGCAGACCAGATCATGTCATTGACGCTGCTGTTGTTGGTGATGATCATGTTGCTGCTGATGGTGATGGTGATGCGTACGATGATGATAATGATGATGATGATGAGGAGGAGGAGGATGATGATGATGAGTATGAGTATGAGTATGGTGACGATGATGGTGATGATGATGATGATGATGATGATGAGGATGATGATGATGATGATGGACTTCTCGGGGTGTGCTTGGGAGATGTTGGGGTCCTCTGGAGAGCCTTTGGACTAGCAGTTTAAATCTGCGTAGCCGTTGTAACCCGACTCTCGTTTTCTTCATCGGTCTGACCGGTTTATCAGCTTACACGGCACAGCGCAGCAACACGACAGACGGCAGCAGCACGGCAGACCAGGAAGGCAGACCACAGGAGCACGGCAGACCAGAACGGCAGACCAGAACGGCAGACCGCAGGAGCACGGCAGAGCAGCACAGCTGACCACAGGAGAACGGCAGACCAGCACAGCGTTGTTGCAGCAGACGGTGCTGATACACTCTTAATTTATTGAACACGTCCCCAGCGAAATCGTCATGGTCGGCCGTATTGAGGGCACTCTGCGGGTCATCTTTGGGCCGATTTTGTTTTTGGGGGGCCGTACTGATGCCCTCAAAAACGATTCCAAGACGACGTTAGACTCATTGTTTGTTTGATGATTGTTCGGCCGTCTTGAGGGCACTCTTAGGGCATAGTCTGCCGTGCTCCTCGTCTTGGTCTGCCGTGCTCCTCGTCTTGGTCATCCTTTCCGTCGTCTTGAGGGCGCTCTTGGTGCCTGGTCTGCCGTGTTCCTCGTCTTGGTCTGCCGTGCTCCTCTCGGTTTCAGTGCCTGGTCTGCCGTGTTCCTCGTCTTGGTCTGCCGTGCTCCTCTCGGTTCCTGCGCGCGGTCTGCCGTGCTCCTGTGGGGAGCACGGCAGACCACAGGAGCACGGCAGACCACACAGGAGCACGGCAGACCACACCTCGATGTTTTGAGGATGTCTCGAGCGAAATGGCCATTTTGGGGAACCTGACCGGACAAGAACGGGAAGCGTCGCTTTTGCCCACTAGGTGTGCGAAATGTGCTCTGTTGTGTTGGTCTGCCCCGCAGGTCTGTCGTGGCGTGCGTGCGTTTGCGCTTGCGCGTGCACGTGCGTGGAGTATGTGCATGTGCGTCCGTGCGAGGTGGTCCGCAGCAATGCTCTTTTATGCCGTGCTGGTCTACCGTGCTCCTGCGGTCAGCGTGAACGTATGTTGCCTGTGCGTGTGTGTGTGTGTGAGAGAGAGCGAAAGTGAGCGTGTGCGTGTGTGTGCGTGTGCCTGTGGGCGTGTGCCTGTGTGTGCGGCTGTGTGCAGCTCTGTGCATGTGTGCGAGCGTGTGCAGGGTGTGTGCTGGGCGGGCGAGACGGGGCGGGGCGCGACATGGCCGTTCGAATCGTAGCGGCGTGGTCGTTTGATCCGGGCGTGGCGGGCTGAACCGAGGTGTGGCCGTTTGAACCGAGCCTCGCCACACGTCGCGGCCGTTTGAACCAGGGCGCGAGGCATGATCGTTCGAATTGTAGTGGCCTGGCGATCGACGGCCTTGAACCGAGACGAGGCGTGAACGCATCTTGCCGCCTCTGTGTGCTCTCGACGGGAGACCACACAGAGGCAAGGTAACAGGAGCACAGGAGCACAGCAGGCCGCAGCAGCACGGCGGCCTGGAGGGCCCTGGGGTGTAGCCCAAGATGGCCTGCCCCTGTTTTAATTGTTGTTTTTTCTCTCTCCCTCTCTATCTCTCTATGTCTCTCTCTTTCTCTGGCTTTAAGCCCCGAAAGCTTCAGCTTCAGCACGGCAGACCAGAACAGCAGACCCGCACGGCAGACCAGCACAACACACCGACACGGCAGACGAGCGCGGCAGTCCGGCACGGCAGACCAGCACGGCAGACCAGCACGGCAGCCCATAGGAACATAGCAGACCAGATCATGTCATTGACGCTGCTGTTGTTGGTGATGATCATGTTGCTGCTGATGGTGATGGTGATGCGTACGATGATGATAATGATGATGATGAGGAGGAGGATGATGATGATGAGTATGAGTATGAGTATGGTGATGATGATGGTGATGATGATGATGATGATGATGATGATGATGATGATGATGAGGATGAGGATGATGATGATGATGGACTTCTCGGGGTGTGCTTGGGAGATGTTGGGGTCCTCTGGAGAGCCTTTGGACTAGCAGGTTAAAAGTTCGTAGCCGTTGTAACCCGACTCTCGTTTTCTTCATCGGTCTGACCAGTTGATCAGCTTACACGGCACAGCGCAGCAACACGACAGACGGCAGCAGCACGGCAGACCAGGAAGGCAGACCACAGGAGCACGGCAGACCAGAACGGCAGACCAGAACGGCAGACCGCAGGAGCTCGGCAGAGCAGCACAGCTGACCACAGGAGAACGGCAGACCAGCACAGCGTTGTTGCAGCAGACGGTGCTGATACACTCTTAATTTATTGAACACGTCCCCAGCGAAATCGTCATGGTCGGCCGTATTGAGGGCACTCTGCGGGTCATCTTTTGGCCGATTTTGTTTTTGGGGGGCCGTACTGATGCCCTCAAAAACGATTCCAAGACGACGTTAGACTCATTGTTTGTTTGATGATTGTTCGGCCGTCTTGAGGGCACTCTTAGGGCATAGTCTGCCGTGCTCCTCGTCTTGGTCTGTCGTGCTCCTCGTCTTGGTCATCCTTTCCGTCGTCTTGAGGGCGCTCTTGGTGCCTGGTCTGCCGTGCTCCTCGTCTTGGTCTGCCGTGCTCCTCTCGGTTTCAAGATGATGTTGCGAACAACTTACTTTTGTGAGGATGTCTCGAGCGAAATGCTCATTTCTGAAATCCGCCAACGAAAAATCCCGTGCAGCGCGGCAACCCATATAGTTAAAGAAAAAATATATTTACTCAAGGATTCAGCCAGAACGTCCCGCTTGCTTCTCGTACCTCGAAGACGCTTCCCGTCAACCGTCATTTTTAACATAAGACGTCTTAAACGATAGCCTCCAACACCTCGATTTTTCGAGGATGTCTCGAGCGAAATGGCCATTTTGGGAAATCCGCCAACGAACGGCGCCGTGCAATCCCGCAACCCATAGATATAAAGATATATATATATATATATATATATATATTTACTCAAGGATTCAGCCAGAACGTCCCGCTTGCTTCTCGTACCTCGAAGACGCTTCCCGTCATCCCGTGCAGCGCGGCAACCCATATAGTTAAAGAAAAGATATATTTACTCAAGGATTCAGCCAGAACGTCCCGCTTGCTTGTCGTACCTCGAAGACGCTTCCCGTCATCCGCCAACGAGTGTCGGGATGGAGCCCGTACCCCTTAGTTAGAGAACCGCCAACGAGTTTCGGGATGGAGCCCGTACCCCTTAGTTAGAGAATCTCTCTCCCTCTCTATCTTCTCTGTCTCTACTCTCTTTCTCTGGCTTTAAGCCCCGAAGCTTCATCTTCAGCACGGCAAGACCGACAGCAGACCGCAGGAGACCCGCTACAACACACCGACACGGCAGACGAGCACGGCAGTCCGGCACGGCAGACCAGCACGGCAGACCAGCACGGCAGCCCATAGGAACATAGCAGACCAGATCATGTCATTGAAGCTGCTGTTGTTGGTGATGATCATGTTGCTGCTGATGGTGATGGTGATGCGTACGATGATGATAATGATGATGATGAGGAGGAGGAGGAGGATGATGATGATGAGTATGAGTATGAGTATGGTGATGATGATGGTGATGATGATGATGATGATGATGATGATGATGATGAGGATGATGATGGACTTCTCGGGGTGTGCTTGGGAGATGTTGGGGTCCTCTGGAGAGCCTTTGGACTAGCAGTTTAAATCTGCGTAGCCGTTGTAACCCGACTATAGTTTTCTTCATCGGTCTGACCGGTTTATCAGCTTACACGGCACAGCGCAGCAACACGACAGACGGCAGCAGCACGGCAGACCAGGAAGGCAGACCACAGGAGCACGGCAGACCAGAACGGCAGGCCCTCCGTAGCCATTTTGGCTCAAGGCCATGGCGCACCCGACGACCGCGAGTCCGTCGGGCGTTCTTGAGCGCGAGGGGCGCCCCGCCACGAGCCAGAAGCTTCGACTGGTTTGTTTTCCTTCGTGCCTGCAGGGCCGAGTGTATCGGCCGAGCAGTTGTCAGTCTTCCCTCGGTGAGCCGCCATGTCGGAGGTTGCCTCGGGGCTGGCTAGGCGGGCGTACTGGTTGTGTGCTAAGCGTGGCTGCAACGCTTGGAACTGGTGTGACAAGCGGTGGACGTGCAAGGCGTGCGGCACCAGTGCTCCCCCATGGACGAAGGAGTACCGCTCCGACAAGCCTCCCCCGCGGGTGGACGCAGACGGGTTCGTGCAGCAGCCCAGGGGAAGGGCTGAGCAGCGCGCGGCGAGGCGCTCGGCCTCCCAGCGGGCCCTCTCGGGGAGCACCGCGCCCAGCAGCGCCCCCAACAGCAGGGCACGGCGAGCGCGGCCCTGGGGAGAGGCCAAGACCCAGATCGAGGAGCTGCAGGCGCAGCTCGTGGCGGCCAGGGAGCGCGTCGACACGCTCCAGGGGGCCTCGGCGCTCGGGCTCTCAGTGGACTTCCAGCGTGAGGCGGAGAACGCCCTCCAGCAGGGCAAGGACCAGGTGGCCGCCCTGGAGCGGTCCGTCCAGGAGGCCCAGCGGACGGAGCGCCCGCCTCACTCGGTGCTCCACATTGAGGCCAATGCCATCCAGAAGGTCGAGCGCCAGCTGGCCACGGCACGTACCAAGAAGGAGAAGCTCCAGCTGCAGGCGTCCGAGCTGCGCGAGCTCATCGCGGAGAAGCAGGAGCAGCTATCGGCAGCCGAGTTGGGGGTTGATGAAGTCACTGGGCAGATTGCAGAGCTGGAAGAGACCAGGGCCAAGGTCACGCAGCAGGCGATCCAGCGGGCCAACGCAGCTGTCGGAGGCGTGCCGAGCCCGCTTGGGGACGCCGTCCAGGGGTTGCTCACTCAAGTCGGCGCCCTTTCGGATCTCCTCAAGCAGCACGGAGCCGATCTGCCACCCAGGTTTTCGGAGATCGTCGAGATTCTCAACACGCAGAAGGAGGCGGTCGCCGACGTGCTCAGGCCCCGCAGCAGCTCGGCCAGGAAGCGTTGGGGCGACAGCGTCGGTGACGACGGCCTCGCGACTGAGGATGACGACATGCCGCTCGACATCGTGGCCTCAGGTGGGCCAGCGGCCGCCCCTCCCGCTGCCGCCCCGCTGGCAGGGCCGACCGCGGCTGGGCCGCCAGCCACGCGGGCCAGGCCAGCGGACGGACCCTACGGCCCTGCAGCGGCCCGCGGCCAACACGGGGCGACCCTGGGCGCGTGGCCTCAGGTGGAGCCCTGCCTCGCAAAGGCCCTCGCCGAGCAAGGGGCGGCCCTCTCGGACGGCGACCCCTTGGTGGCTGCGGCTGCTGTCGTTGCTCCTGCTGCTGGGTACGGGCCGCGCCGTGGGTGATGCGGGAGCGTGGGAGTGGTCAGCTTCCACAGTCGGCCTCGACGTCGGGGACAGCGGGACGCCTTCCCCTCTGGATGTGCGCGGGCCCAGCTGCTGGGACAGGTGGAGGAGGCGCTGTGACGGCCGCTGGCGCGTCCGCGCCCCTCGCAGGCGGCGGGCGGCGCCGAGCACCCTCGCCCGAGGTAGCCAGCTGGCGCGGTCGGGATCACCGAGGTGGCCCCCCGACGGCCAGTCAGGGGCCGAGAGCGGTGGGATTCAGCCCCACGTCGTCGCAGCTCTCGGCCCCGTTGGTGATGGGCAGGCGCACCCCCCGCTGGCAACCGGAGGGGCGGAGGGACGGCCGCCTCCTCAGCCCTCCGATGGCGCGCTGCGGAGGGAGCGACGGCCACCTCCCGTTCTGGCGAGCGGCCCGCCGACGCCGATGAGGAGCGCTGGAGCGAGGGGCCAGGGCCCCCCTCCAGTCCTGGTGGGGGCGGAGGGTCCCGCGACCAGGGGCACAGCGGGCCCCGTGTCTGACGCTGGTGGGCGGGCCGCTCGCGAGGCAGCCGTCATCGGCAAGGCGCCGCTGGTCGGCAGGGCAGGAGGCCAGCAGCTTCGAGCTGGCCTAGTCATGTCCGGCTGCAATGGCAACGCTTGGAGCAGGAGCATTGAAGCCCTCGAGGCCTTCTTCAAGGCGCACGACTACTGGCCCGACGTAGTGGCGCTGCAGGAGACGAGGCTCCCGCATGAGCGCCTGCCCAGTGCTGCGGCTCAGGCCCGCGGCCTGGGCTACGCGGCCTTCCTCCCCGAGGCGGCGCCGACGGAGAAGCAAGGGCCCCAGGCGACCTCAGGCGGCGTGGCGATTCTGGTGCGAGACGGCTTGCAGGCCGACGAGTCGGCGTGCCCTTTGCCCTCGGCCTTGCGCCACCGCCTCATCGGGGTGGAGGTCGCCGCTGCCTCGGGCTTTCGGGTCCTGGTGCTGGCTGGGTGCTTTCAGCACTCTGTGGGCCCTCGAGGCACCAACCTGGACTTGTTTTCGGCCATCTCGGAGGTGACGGGCTTTTCTGCCGACATCCCGTGGGTCCTCCAAGCCGACTTCAACATGGAGCCCGAGCCACTGGAGGACTTGGGGTGGCCCGCTGCGGTGCGGGGGCATGTCCTGGGGCCCTCGGAGGCGACGTGCCATGCCGAGGGATGTGACCACCTCTACGACTGGTTCGTGGCTTCCGCGGCGCTGGCAGCCTGCACGGCCTCCTGCGCCACCACGCTCGAGGGCTTCGGTCTGCACCCTCATCGCCCTGTCCTGCTTCGTCTCCAGGACGTTCGGGCAGATGCGTTGGTGGGGGTTCCGTCCAGGCCCGCACGCTTCCCCGAAGTTGCTCCTGAGCTCCTTCGGGCGCACGAGGACGCGGAGATTGTGTGCTACTCGGTTGGCAAGAAGGGACAGGTCACGCCTAGGAGCGTCGCGTGGTCCTGGGACACAGGCACTTCACCGACCAACCTCTCCGTCGCCTTCAGCGAGTGGGCGGCGGCTGCTGAAGGCACCCTGGTCGGCATCCACGGCATCGTCCAGGCAGACTTGGCCCGTCATCTCGGCAGAGGAGAGGGGCCGCGGCTGTCCCTCAAGCCCCTCAGTGCCTTGGTCAGGCGGGATGCCAGGTTCAGGTTCAGCCTCCTCACGCACCGCTTGAGGAGCTGCCTGGACGTGGCCCTCCAGCGGCTGCGCGCTGAGAGGACTGGCCGCTGGCACCCTCGGCATGCAGACTGGTACGGGCACCAGGCCGGGCTCAGGGCGCAGCTCTTGCTAGAGGCGGTGCAGGAGGCTGCCGACTCGGTCGGCGGGGCTCTTCCTGGCGCAGCTCCTGATCGACTCGGCGACCTGGTGTTTCAGGCGGGCGTCCACGGCAGCCCTGATGCCGCTCGGGACCTCCAAGGGCTGCTCGGTGCATCGCAGCGCCGCGACGCGGCTCAGAGCGCCCAGGCCTGGCGGAACTGGGCACAGACAGCGGTCGAGAAGGGCGGTCGTCTGGCCCACCGCTTCTCGAAGGCGACGCCCCCGCCGACGGTCAGGGACGCTGACTCTGGCAGGGGGCTCGTTGGGATGGCAGCGATCGGCGAGCTCACGAGTGTCTGGCAGAAGCTGTGGCTCCAGGACGGGTTTGCCCTGGGCGCTGGGGCCAGCAGCTGGGACGTTGGCGAGTGGCGGCTGCCACCCATCTCGCTGGAGCAGCTCCAGGCGGCCTGCAAGCGCTACAGCCCCTCGGTGGGGCTCGGGTGCGACTCTCTGCGCCCTCGGCAGATCCTCCTGCTGCCCGTGGCGCTGCAGCAGCGCATCCTGGACATCCTGGCGGCCTACGACGACGCCCCTGCATCGATCAGCGGGCAGGTCTCCCTGATGGTGTTCATCCCGAAGGCAGATGGAGGGGTAAGGCCCATTGCGTTGCTGCCGCTGGCCCTGCGGCTGTGGTCGCGCCTCCGCCAGCCCTGCTGCGCCCGCTGGGAGGCTGACCACGACTTCCCCTTTTTCTGGGGACGTGACGGGCGGGACTGTGAGCGGGCTGGGTGGCTGCACAACTGTTTTGCGGGGTTCGCGAAGGCGAACCAGCAGTTCGAGGCCGCGAGCCTCTTCCTGGACACCAGCAAGTTCTACGAGCACGTGCGTCACGATGTTCTCTGGGCGAATGCAGTGCGTTTCGGGTTCAACCTCAGGCTGTTGCGCGGCCTCCTCACCTCCTACCAGGCCCCTAGGATGATCCTCGCGGCGGGCATGGCTTCCCCCGCCTTCGGCACTGCGGGTACGGTTTTGGCTGGGTGTGCGTGTGCGACAGCAGTTGCGAAGCTCCCAGTGCTGGGCGCCCTCCTGGCCGCGGGGGCGACGTGCCCGTTGGTCACGCCGAGGAATGTTGTCGACGACATCTCGCTCCAGGCGGTCGGCACGGCCCGACTTGTTAAGCGGCAGATGTTGGTCTCCAGCTGTGAAGTGGTCCGCCTGCTGCGTGAGCAGCACCTCCCAC